CTAACATGTTTTCTCTGTTGTTGAGCAGTATATTTTCTTTTGTAAATATTGGTTCATCTGTGATTGTAACTTTCTAAATATTTAGAATAATTTTTGTAACAACTTTTGGTAAAAATGACAAGTTCATAGAAAATATTCAAGTGCAGAAAAATAAACTTGGCTTTAAATACTTCTGAACTTCTCAGGCTTTACCGATTCCAGTTTTCTAACACTGCTGAAGAAGATGCCAGATGTGGAACAGCTCTATGGCCTTCACCCTAGGTACCTTGAGAGGCGAAGGGTACGAGGCCATGAAGCCTTTAGCATTCCAGGAGTCTTGGAAGCTTTGCAGGCATGCCCAAATTTAGTGGTGAGTGCACCTCTAAACATTATTTACATCAAATGATCGATGAATAAGAAACCAGAAGACAGAGAACAGATTCAGTCATAAGAAAATAATATTCAAAAGAAGCTTCTTAAGTTCTATTATATGCTTAAAACCTTATTACACAGAAATAGAAGCTTTGAGTGCTAAATTAAAAGACCTTCACATACTTGTTTTGGTGTTCTTTTCTAGGGTGTGGAGACTTCCCATTTGGAGTTAGTAGAATCTATTTGGACATATATGCCACATGTTCATATTTTGGGGAAATTTCGTAATCGTAATGGAGCATTTCCAATTCCTCCTGAAAATAAACTGAAAATTCCTATAGGAGCCAAAATTCAAACTTTGCATTTAGTGGGTGAGTACATGTTTCTTGAGTCATTTAGGACTACTTGAAATGTTACTGGATATTCATTAAAAGAGAATAATAAGAATTTTAGAAATGATTTTGTTGAACAGTACCAAAAGAAATGCTTGTGAAACCTGTAGAAAAATTCGTATTTAAAAAAAAAAATCGTATTTCACATTAAAGAACCGGCAGAGGAAGTACAATTACAGCTTCACAAATAATAACCTATCTTTTTAAGGACAGTTTAGATTGTTTTGAAGTCCTGCCCTTGTCTAGTAAGCACTATTAGTCCTGGTTCTACCCTCTAGAGGAGTACTTTCTAGTTTTCGGTGTTGTAATGTTCTATCCTTACTTACCTGCAGTGGTTCCTAGGTAGCTTGGTGCATAGCTTACGGAGCTGTTAGCTGAAAGGTTGGCATTTTGAAACTAGAAGCCACTCAGTAGGAGGAAGGTGGGCAGTCTCCTCTTGTAAAGACTTACAGCCTTGGAAACTGATGGAGGACAACTATTATTTGGAACTGAACTGAACACATTGGGGTTTTTTGAGGAATGTGGCAATCAACTTCTAAAAGTTCACAGCTTTGGAAACCTAGTGGAGCACGGTTCTAATCTGTAACATGTCACTGTGTCCAGATTAACTAGATAGCAACTGATTTGGTTTGGTAGCTGCTAAAACTGAAGAATTATTGTTACTATTACTTTTTATAATTAATTTAAATATTATCACATGTAACTGATGACTGTTGTACAGTGCAGTGTTAACCTCCTGGGATAATTTTTTTGTCTTTAAATTAAAAAAAACCCAAACTTAACCAACTCATAGTTTGCCATTCATTATCTTTTCCAAGATCAAAGTTACCCTATGTCTTTGAATTTTCAAAGCTGGCAGAAAGCTACTAGTTATCTTTTCCGTTGTGATATGAAAAAGAAATATTTCCAAAGGAACTTATTTGTAGTGATTAAAGGGTACATTTGCACATTCGTTGGAAGGATGATACAGTGATTCCATACTAGGTAAATGAGAAAGAACAGTTCTCTTAAATTTCTTTTTCATCATTTTCTTAGTCTTAGTAACAATTTGAGGATACTAGAAGCAGTGGCTTGAGTTGTGTCCTTGGAGAAGAATACTGAATATTCCATGGACTACCCAAAGAAGACATAGATGTGTCCTTGAGAAAATGCATCCAGAATGCTCCTTAGAGGCAAGGATGGCAAAACTTTGTCTCTCATACTTTGGGCATGGTGTTAGAAAAAGCTGTTCCTTTTAAAGGGATATCATGCTTGGAAGAGGGGAGGGTCATTGAAAAAAGGAAGAGCTTTGGCAAGATGGATAGCCACAGTGACTGTGACAGTGGGCTCTAGTATGTCAGATGGTGAGGATGGTACAGGTTGAGAGAGTTCAGATCCCTTGTTCAGTGTCACTGTGAGTCATATTCAGTGGCATCTACCTAATACAACGTTGATTGTGCTTGGAAAGGTGGAGAGAAAAGAAAACCCACAAGAAGATTGGAATGATATAGTGACTGTAGGAATAGTCTCAAATATATCAGAGCTGGTAAGGAATACTACAGGATAGGGCAAAGTTTAGATCAGTTATTCAGGATCACTGTGACTTGTAGTTGAATGCATAGTACCAAACAACAACACTGATATTATGAGAGATCTGGTGGTCAAGTTATAAGGATTTAAAGCTGCCAGCGGCAAGTGGTTCAGGTCCACCATCTGGTACACAATAAAATGGACAATATCCTGGGTGTTTTACAGCCTCTAAAAACCCTTTGGGGACTCCATTATGAGTCAGTACTGACTTGACAGCACATAACAAGAACAGTTGATACTATAGGGATCTATGGTGGGCGAGTGGATAAGGAGGTGCATTGCCAACCCAAAAGACAGTTCCAATTCACTGGCTTCTCAATGAGTCATGGGTACTCAACAACAACTCATACAATAGTCTGTTCCTTACTTAGTATTTAACCCACTGGCATTTGTCATGATGAAAGAACTGAAGAAATAGTTGAGGCCTTGGCATACAATATTGAAAGCTTCTGGGGATAAATACTGATCAATAAAGGAAATACCAAAAGAAAGTGAAAGGAATCTAGATTATCACTGTATCAAAAGGAATTGGCTGATACTCAGCCATTTCAGGAGGTGGCTATGATTAAAACCCATTACTACTGAAAGAAGGCTAACTTATTCTGAGGCAAAGTATATTGATCTAGGAATTGATGGCATAAAAATTGAGAATTTTCAATAATGAGTACAGCACACAAAACACTTACAGTGAGGGGTTTCTTGTGCTATGATTTTGCTGCTGATTCAAAGGCAAACCCATCAGAGATGTTGGAAAAGATGGACCATCTCTTCCCATTGTGATTGTCCTCCCATTATGATTTATAGCCATGGAAATCTGATGCAGGGTCACCATGAGTCAGAACTGATTAGAAAAGCAGTGAGTTTGATTGAATCTAAAAAATGTGATCTGGTGGATAAGGGAAATGGTAAGAAGTATTATTTTATCTCTTCTTGGCCTTTTGGCTAAGATCTAGTGTAGAACATGTAGTATCATTATTTTCACATGTAAGTAAATATTATTCCACAGCAGTGTATCTACAAAGAATGTCTAGAAATTCAAACCAGATTCAGAAAAGGGCATAAAATGAGTGATAATACTGCTACAGTCAGATAAATCCTGGCGGAAAGCAGGTAATACCAGGAAGATACTTATCACTGTTCTATTGATTGTTTTTAAAGGTTCTTCACTCTAGGAATCATAAATAATGAGTAACATTGGAAAGAATGGACATTTCAGAACTATTGTGTTCCTGTGGAACCTGTACAAAGATCAGGAAGGAATTATTTGAATAAAACAAAAGGATGGTGTGTTTAAGGAAGGTGTGGTTTAAAATCAGGAAAGTTGTACATCAAACTTAGATCTCCATGAGCTCTTGTGGCCTAGTGGCAGGAAGCTATGCTGCAATCCCAAAATTATATCATTCTCCAATTGTATTAAGTCTTGTATGCTAAGCAAATAATCAAAGAAACTGTATTATATGAAGAAGAATAACATCAGAATTAGAGGAAGACTCATTAGTGCTTTGCTCTGCAGTTCTTTTATTTTTTATTAATTTTAATCAAAGTTAACAGAGACTTAGGGTTTCCAGTCATTCATTGTTGCACTTTTCTCCCTGCCTACCCTCTCCCCCCCAATTCACTTTTGTTCTTGCTAAGTAAAAGAAAAACTCTCTCATTGCTAAGCAGTTCCTCCCCTCAAGTTCAGTGCACTGTGCAGCCTTCATTCTGGACTCACTTAATCATATATCCCTTTTAAACAGTTCTTTGCAGAGTCCAGCATCTTGAATAATTTGCCCAGTATACAGATTGAATATAGGTATGGAGAAAAGATGCAATCCTGATGCACATAATTTCTAATTTTAAACCTTGAGTACTAGAGAGCAACAATGTCCTGATATGAGCTATGGTGTCTGCAATTACTTACTATCCATCAGAGAACTGGATAATGATTAAGGATGATAAAAGAATTGATACCTTTGAGTTGATGTGCCAGAGAAGAGTAGTGAACATAACATGGACTGCTAAGAGAACAAACAGATATGTTTTGAGAGAGGGTGAAACCGAACTGCTCTTTGGAGGCAAGGATTTTGAAGCTCTTTCTCACATACTTTGAGCACGTTGCCAGGAGAGCCCAGTTCTTGCAGAAGGACATTGTGCTTGGAAAGGTAGAGGGACAGAGCAAGGGAGGAAGACTCTGGATGAGATAGATTGACTCAGTAATTAGGGAAATGGGGTTTCCTGCGCCAGAGAGTGAAATTGGCTCAGAATAGGGCAAGGTTCAAAGCTAGGTACATAAAGTTGCTGTAAGTTTCAGATGACTTGATGGCACATAACAACAACAGTAATCCCTTGCTGTGTTCACACATTTGCCTCTTGGACTAGGTATAGGTTTTGCACAAGCACAATTAAATGAGCTAAACACTGCAGCCTTTAATATGGATTGCATCTCAATGTCAAGAAAACAAAAATCCTTGCCACCTTTCCAATAGTCAACAAACATGATAGATAGATAAAAATTGATACTCTCAATGACTTCCAGATTGGATCAGTATACTTGGAACCAGCAGTGAGGTGATCAGGACATGTATTTCACTGGGAAACAGGCAAGTACCTCTCCACATTATTGAGGAGAAATGATAGCAGTTTGAGGAATAAGGTGTGCTTATTCAGACCATGGTTTTTTCAGTCACTTGCTATGCTGCTGAGAGCTGAACAGTGAATTAGGATGACAGAAGAATTGATGATTTGAACTGTGGTGTTGGAGAAAAGGGCTGAATACCTGGGTTTTTGGAAGGACAGATAAATCTTGGAGAGAGTGCAGCCACAGTGCTCCTTAGGTGGCAAAAATGATGAAGCTTTGTCTCACATACTTTGGGCATATTGCTTGGAGAGGTTATTCCTTGGAGAGGGACATCATACTTGGAAAGGTATAGGGATGACTAAGGAGAGGAAGACCTTCAACCAAATGACCTGACAGAGTGAACTGCAGCAATGGCTTTGAGTGTGTTAGAGATTATGAGGATGGTACCGGTTAGTACAAGGTTCAGATCTGTTGTTCATAGGGTCTCTATGAGTTGTACCCAACTCGATGGCACCTAACAGCAGTTGTCTAGTTAGACAACCTTTCTTGCTTGCAGAAAGTGAAGATTTGAAACACTAAAGATCAAAGCCCACAGTCTTGAGGATTGTATCTCAATAGCAAGAAAAAAATTTTCACAACTGAACCAGTAAGCAGCATTTTGATAAACAGGAAATACTGACGAGGTCAAGGATTTCATTTTGCATAGGTCCACAGTCAACACCCATGAAAGCAGCAGTCAAAAAATATCAAATGTTATATGACATTGGAAAAATCTGTTGAAAAAGACCTTTTGAAAGTGCTAAAAAGCAAAAATAACACTTTGAGACTAAGGTGTTCATTATTAAATCCATGGTATTTTCACTTACCAGGAATTGTTGCCTTTGAATTATAATATTGACAATATTCAATGAATTGTGTAAAATACATAGACTTCTATCTTTGCATTGTCAGATGTGCTTTCAGTAACCTATTTTTCTGTTTTCTGGGAAAATGTAGTCTGGAAGAATTAATAAAGATGTGATATTTCTCATAATCAGTTGTTACTGAAGATTTTTAAAACCAATTTTAAAATTTCACTAACCTTTTTATTAATTTTTCTTAAGATATCTTAAATTTTTATCTGGTATATTTGTTAGAGAATAATCATGAATTTCTGTGCATAAAACAGAAATAGTTTTTAATCATTATCATATGTTTAAATTGTTCTTTAAAGATTTATCTTATATAAATTTAATACACTTTAATGAGGTAATTTGTAGTGATAAACGTTTTTACAAAAGTTGTCATTTTGAGAAATCAATTCTTACACTTAGATATAGAATATAGAACGTTCCTGTAATTGTCTTGTTTGTTCTTTTTCATATATGGTTTAGGAGTAAATGTTCCTGAAATTCCTTGCATCCCAATGCTAAGGCATCTTTACATGAAGTGGGTCAGACTTACTAAACCACAGCCATTTAAAGACTTTCTTTGTATCAGCTTGCGGACATTTGTCATGAGGAACTGTGCAGGTAATAATACATAGTTAATTTAAGAATTCATATATTTATACTCTTCTAAAGAGATCCTACAGCAACATATATATCTACGTTTATAAAGGAAATTATGTTACGCTTTTGTGATTTATACTTTGTGACTTATCACTTACTTAAATAAGGGGATGATTGTGAATATTTTTATTTCAAAGGCTTTAGAAATCTATGTGTGCTTGCTGTTTAAGAAGAAAAAAATGTCAAAATTACCTTTCCTGTTGATACTTTTTTCTTCTTTCTGGATTAATTTATTTGATTACTGTTCTGCTTTCTTTCCCTCTGATCTTCCAGCCTCATATACCTGAAAATTGTTTTTATTATATTTTTTCTCCCCAGAAACCTTCAGCATCCCTGTTGCCTTAAGACCTTCAAGTTAGGAGTACTCTGTTTAACATTTAAAGTTTGTAATAATTCAGCCTACACTTACTACACTTATTTCTGACTCCTTTCTGAAATACTCTTTCTCTTACAGTCAGGTTTGCCTGTTTACTATCTCCTAGACAGTCATATCAGCTTTCACCTCAGTGTCTTTGCTAAAACTATGTAATCACTTTCCTTGCTCTTGTAGACCTTCCTTTCCTCGTTTACTTGGACACATCTGACACATCCTTCAGGATATACCTTTTGTAACGTAATCCTTTCTTTCCCTTGTTTCTCCCTTTTTTTTCTGTTTTTGTGTAATGATTGTAGCATCTTCTTTTTATACTCGACTACATTCTTCATTTGCCTCCTTTTCTAACTACACATAATACTTTTATCTCCATGTAAATTTCAAGCTCATTGATGAACAGGATTATATCTTGTTTATCTTTTTTATATTCTTTAGCACTTAAAACAATACTAGTTATATAGATTTAAGAAATTGAGATGCAAATGATTTAAGGGATTAAAATGTTGACTAGACTGAAGAATCAAATTTTAACTTGATTTTTCCCCTTGTTTTGAGTTTAGAATTAACTACACTTCAGTGATTTTTTTTAAGTTACTAAGTAACTTTCTACTGTTACTGAAAAATCTTTGTGCTAAATAAATATGTAAATGTTAACAGGCTTACCTACACTTCCATTTAAAACAAGACTTAAATAAATCATAGAAACCTAACAAATTTGTTTTCATTTTAAGCTGTTGGATATATAGGCTGATTTTAAAATGCATCTTTAAAGCACTTTGAATTGCTCAACTGTATTTTTTTCTCTTATTTTTCTAGGACCCACAAATTCCTTAAAATATGTCCCTTTAGTAACAGGTTTAGCCTCTGCTCGAAACTTGGAACACTTAGAAATGGTTCGAGTTCCTTTCCTTGGAGGTCTTATCCAACATGTAGTTGAAGACAGTTGGAGATCAGGTGTGCACTTTTCTGTAGTCATTAAGCCAATTTTAACATTTCACTAACCTTTTATTAAGGTTTTTAAAATTGTTTAAGAGGATAAAACCCAAAACACTCAGTACTAATTGTATTTTATGGTATATTTGGTAGAGAATAATTATGAGTATAGACTTTTATTTCCTTGTAAAGCATTCTCATAATAAAGAATTGATGCGACAATGTTTTACTGGTTTAATATGACTTAACAATATAACCTGTTATATATGGAATCATTCTTAGAGAAATATTAGCAGGGATTCTAGTGCCCTTTGGCAAGAAGAAGTGTTTTAGGACTTGGACACTTTAGGCCTCCACTGTTGTTGTTGTTGTGTGCTGTTGAGTTAGAACAGACTCATAACTGACCCTACAGTGGGTTTTCAGGAGCAGTAAATCACACGGCAAGTGATTGCCCATCTTTCTCCCACAGAGCAGCTGGTGGCCTCAAACTTTTTGTCTTTGAGTTGGCAGCACAGCTCCTTATTACTAAGTCACCAGAGCTCCCTAACTAGATGGTTAGTGTAAAATTACTCTAAAAGTTATCAAAGTGTAATAAATGTTACACAGCTTCTTCATTAAAACAAAAGTAGAAGTTCAACTAGATCGAGAAATAGTGGTTATAAACTGACAAAATAATTATAAATATGCACATTCAAAAGATAAATGAAAAAATACTATGTACTGTAACTTCAGTAATAAATGGAAGTTACCTTTCAGTATCATTAAAATACAATGAGAAATTGTTGTTCCGTACCGTCAAGTCAGAACTGAATGATAACTTACCCCCTAGTTTTCAGAGGGCCTAAATTACGTGGGAGGAGATTTCCTCTCTGTCTTTCATAGAGCAGCTGGCGGATTCGCGGATTCAAACCTCATACCTTTGGTTAAACCACCAGAGCTCAATGAAAAGTAAGCACCAAAGGTTTTAATATGTTGTCCAATAGCTCTGGTTAAAGTACAGTTGTTTGCGTTGAATTAAGGGAATAGAACAAGCAGGAATTTGAATCTCTGCTGGTGAGATTGTAAATTGATAGAAATACTTAGGAAGGGTTCTTGCTGGCATGCACCTATACACATATCAACAGTTGCAATCTTCTCTTTATAGCCTCTATATCCATACAGTAGATTACTATCAAACAGTGAAAACAGCAAACTGCAGCCTGTTCAACAACAAAGATGAATCTCAGAAGCAAAATGTTTACTAAAATGAGTAATATACAATTTTTTAAAATTTTTTTTTGTAATATACAATTTGTAATTATTTATATACTTTGAATCAAACAGGCAAAATTAATATTTTGTAAAACTTTGTTGAGCTATAATCTATCACCTATCACTTTTTGTATGCAAGTAAAAGTTACAAAAAAAAAGGACAGAACTGATTGATAAAAAAAATACTGTTTATCCTCTTTAATAACCAGTCCCACTTCCCTTTAGTCAGTTGAGAGACTCAGTAACCTTAAAGAACAGAGTACCGTTGCACCAGAAGGATTCAGAGATTGTAAATCTTCACTAAAGCCAGTTGCCACTTTTTTCTCCCTGTAAACAGCATGTGAGTTTTAGTGCTGACCTTTTGGTTACTAGCCCATTGCTTATACATCCAGGTCTGCTTAAAAGTTTAAACCTTTTTGCACTGCAATCCCAGAGGTGCATGGTTCGAGTCCACCAGATACTCTACTGGAGAAGGAGGGACGATCTCCTCCTGTACCAGTCAGATCCAGTTTGATGGTACACACACACAAAATAACAAAAAATTTTTTCTTTTTTTTTTTAAATAGGTTTAAATCTTTTGAAATTTATTTTAAATATCATCAGAATGTCTTCTCAAAAACTGTCAGAATGGGGGGAAGGAGGGCAGGGAGAAAAGTGCAATAATGAATGAATGGAAATCCAAAATCTCTGTAAATGTTCATTAATAAAATAAAATTTTTAAAAAACAAAAAAACTGTCAGAATGATTTTATCTGCTTTCATCTCTATTTGGAGATGAATTCTAGTTATAATTCATCGTAAGACACTAATTTGAATGTAAAGCTTAGATTTACTTTTGAACATATAATCATCTAACATGTATTTAAATGCTTTACTAAATTTGCTTGGGTCAAAAAAAATTATTCTCTTGTTTTTCTCTTTATCCCAGGTGGTTTTAGAAATTTGCACACTATTGTTTTAGGAGCTTGCAAAAATGCTCTTGAAGTAGATCTTGGTTACCTCATTATCACTGCTGCTCGTAGGTATGTTTTTCCTTCATGTTTTGTCTTTTGTCTTATGGAAATGTTTATTTGATGGATGTGAAGCCTAAACATAAAATTTGTTCAAATTTAAAATATGAAGTAGTTGTTAAGATACCAACTGGTTGTCTCTTAATGGTATCTTTGTGTTATAACTGATAACCTGCTGCATTGTTCTTCATACCCAGCAAACTGTGGAAAGGAGAGCAGTTTGTTTTCAGAGAAGAACTTGTCTGAGTGTCCTGCAGGACTGATCATCAAAACTTTAGTGTTCATTGTCATCCAGTAACCAGTGTACCAGTCTCTGGAGGATTTACTGGATTGTTTTACTTTGTCAGTTATTTGTTATTCAGAAATCACCTTTTTTTGTACAGCACTTTCAAAATTCTGGTCTTGTAACCACAGCTTTATAGTTTTACCATATCTTTATATCACTTTGTACTATATGTACTATTTCTCACTTTTAAAAGATTTGCCTTAGCTTTAACTTGTATATTTTCTTTAAATTGAATTAACTCAAGTTCTAACTTAATAAAAAATAAAAGTCTTACTTTCTACCAGAGAGTTAAGAATATGATTGCTTATACATAACAATTTAATTAATTAAGAGAATGTAAAATAATTCAAAATTTTAACAGGCTGTTAAACTGTCAACTGTGGAAGAAAATGTTAGAAGAAATGCCAGCACTAGTCTCCACTCAGGGAGATTAACTGACCTTGTAATTACAAAAAGACTGCAGAAGAAATAAAGATTTTTTATGATGTGATATATTATTATTCTGGATACCTACAATGTGCTGCCTCAAATTTGCCCATATTCTGTAGAACATTGTTTTAAAGAATACTCTTAATGGAAGGAGGGAAAATGATAGCATTTTTTCTCAGACACTTAGTATAGGAAGGTCCTTTAATGTTTTTTGTTGTTCTTCTTATCTATATCTCTCTGTTCTCTTTGTCAGGTTACATGAAGTTCGGATTCAGCCCTCTCTAACCAAAGATGGTGTCTTTTCTGCCCTAAAAATGGCAGAACTGGAGTTCCCCCAGTTTGAAACTCTTCATCTTGGATATGTAGATGAGTTTTTGCTGCAGAGTAAGGCTTTATTCCATTTCATTTCCTAGAATTGCTGTAGGAGATTGTCAAACTGAGCCTCAAATCAGGATGTGCTTTATTTCCCTAAATAAGTTAAAAGTTTTGATATTTTCACTTCTTGAAAAGAAACATTTAAATTAGAAATATCAAGGATTCTCATGTTTTTAACATATTATAAATATTTGGATAGCCATACCAGTGCTAACAAGTCCTTGTCTACATTTGATACTGTCTTTGCTTATTGTCCAGCTTTCTTTCCCATTTTGCCTCATTTTTTTCACAGAGTGTCATCCTTGGTTCCATTTGTTGAATTTGATCTACCACACTTGTTGAAGCTTTTGATGGCCCTCTCAGATGAGGTGCCATTCCCTGCCCATGCTCTTCATTTCCATAATAAGCCTGCTGGGGGTTCTGGATTTTCAGATAGTGTGATCACGTAATGGTCAGTATACATTTGATGAAGTTGCTGTTGAAGGCTTGCTCACAGCATTTTCTAAAATGCATTTACAATTAGGAACTCGTTCCTTTCGGTTTGAATGCGTATCAATTCATTATTCAAGCTTTTTTTCAAACCTTGTGGCATTAGTCAGACTTGTAAAGTGTACTTACATTAACATGCTTTTATTTTTCCAAGAATTAGTTACTTTTCCATGAAATTTGCAAGTAATGTTTCTTGAGTCATCACTGTCAGTTTGATTTTTGTTGGTTTTTTTTTTTCTTTAAATTTAATTTGCTTTGTAGAGCATATAAAAGTTTCATTGATTCCTTTAGCCAGGGACATCAAGGACAGATACTTGGTTTCTAACATACATTTTGCCTTTACATTGTTTTGTTCTTGTTTTGGTGTTTTGTTTTTTACATTTTTTATTGTTGTAGGTCTTGTTAATACAGGTGAAGGATTATTTTTAAAAGTTAAGCCATTTCCTAGCTAATGTATTATTAAATAGGATTGGCTTTTTGTTTTTATAGAGTTGGAAAAACTCAGCTTTTCACTAAAATAATTTTAAATGCTACACCTAGTATCAGTATTTCATATAAAATAGGCGCATTTGAAATGAAACTTTTCCTATTTTGATTGAGGCTGCTAATATTTTATTTCTGTAATCCTTATCTAATAATTGATCAGAATTTATTGGCTTTTCTTTCTGTACTCTTCTATTTTATTTTACTCAAGAGCTGAAAAGTTCACAGATTATTTTTTGTTGCTTTAGGATTATTTCTCTAACTAGCTGTTTTTCTGCTGTATTTCTAGCTCCTTAAATTTTTAATAGCATAAAAATGACTTCATTTTGACTATATTACTTTTTGACACAGCATGCTTCATCCCTTTGCTAGCTCATTCTTTCTAGTTTTGACCTTTTTACAAGCCATTCTTCATATTAACTTCTGTTCATCCATTTCTAGATATGAGATGTTTTCTATCTACAGTCTTCCTCCTAGAACTTCCTAGGATTTCTGTTTCTTAATAGGTACCAATAGGCCCCTCTAACCAGACCATCTAGAGAGAGAATAGAAGTGACTGCTCATGCCCTTTCTTTTAGTTTTGCCTTTCTCAGTATTTTAGAATTTGAAGCATCTTTCCAGGTGGTAGAGGTAATCTCTAATAAAACAGTTTTTGTTACAAAGGACCTAAAAATAGATAAGTAAAACCCCTACCTCTCTTCTTTGTTTATGGTAAGAATGTCAGCCAGATTAGGGAAATACATGTTCTAAAGTTGATAGTGTGTAATAGGAATATAAGAATAGTTAATAGTATAGGTAAGTGGTTGTGATGGGTTCAGATTAAAGTGATTTATGTGCACTGAATCAGTGGTCCAAAAATAAAGCATTAATTGTACACTTAGGATCTCTGAACTTTATGTATAGATAACAGCTGGATGGAGGGAGTGAGTAAAGGAATTGGAATAGAGAACCATTGGGGACCTGAAAAGACAGAGTGATAATGGGCATAGAGCAGTCTGGATTAATTTTATAAAACACAATGTAGGGGAATGAATGATTGTATGAAACATAATTTGAAGGAAGGAATGTGTGAAACACAGTGTACATGAATGAAACATAATGCATAAGAAATTTGTATGCAAACCAATACAGAATTTTTTATAAAATTTAGAAACAAAAACTGAAAATTGTAGAAGCAGGATAGTGTAGGCTTTTAGTGCTGGTGCTTTGACAGGGAACTGGAATTGAAGATCAAGTATAGTAATCATGTAACTTTCAGTAAATGAACTTTTTTCAAGTCCATATTTTCTCTTGTGTTATATGGTTATAAAATGAATTGACACTTTTCTCTTGAGTACTTCTAAGAATTTAATGAAAAAGAAATTATAGCAACTTTTAACAGTTAGGAAGTATTCAGTAACTGCTACTTTTTACTTTTAGTTGACCTATTCTTCTGGAAGGTCAGCTAAAGGTAGATTCCAACTCAACAGCACCCAATAATAAAATCAATATGGTCTCAAGAGAGAATTAATTATTTTTAATGATTCTAACCCACAGGTGTACAGTCTTTAGTGTGCAGAGCACCTGTAGTTTTGTTTTGCTTTTTTTTTTTTACTTTGTATCACCTTATTGGAGGGTTGTAGAAACATTTGTAAGGGTTCTGTATGCCCAGCACTACTGTAGGTATTGACAATATAACTATGATGTGAGTCAAGTACATTAGACTATCTTGAAAAGTGAAAAGCAACCAGATGGGAGAAATGACAGGATGCAAAGGGTGAAGTGTGCGTCCCAATGGTGGTTGTTGTGTGCTGTCTCACTTAGTAACTCATAGCAGCCCTATGAACAATGACTTTGAACCTTGCCCTACATCTTGCCTGATCATCTCTGACACACCTGAATCACAGATACTATGTCACTTCATCTTATCAAATAGTCTTTCTCTCCTGTGCTGATTTTTCCAAGCATGATATCCTTCTCCAAGAACTGGCCCTTCCTGACAATATGCAAGAGTATATAAGAGTGTAAAAATCCTTACCTCCAAGGAGCAACTTGGTTTCATCCTCTCCAGCATTGACCTGCTTGTTCATTTGGCAGTCCATAGTATGTTAAATACTCTTCTCCATCACCCCAATTCAAAGACATCCTTCAGTCAACAGTTCCATCATCCTTCATCATTGTCCCCGTCTCAGATGTGTAACAAGTTGTTTGCAAACACCAAGGCCTGGATCAGGCACACCTTAGTTTCTGAACTGATACCGTTGCTCTTTAGCACTCTGGAGACGTTCCTAACAACAGATGTTCCCAGTGCTGTTTTTTAATTTCCTGGCTGTTGATGCCAGGGATATTGATTATGGATCCAAGCAAGATGAAATTGTCATCTGTCATGATGTCACCACTGCCTATTGGCCCAGTGGTGAAGAATTTTGTTTTCTTGATGTTGAGCTGCAATCCATGTTGAAGGATATAGTCCTTGAACTTCTGAAACAAATGTTTCAAGTCTTTCTCAGTTTTGGTGAGCAGGGTTATGTCATCTACATGATGCAGGTTATTGATGAGTCTTCCTCCAGTTCATAAGCCCAGCCTCTTGAATGATCTATTCAGCATATAGATGGAAAAGATACGGAGAAAGGATACATCTTTGATGCCTTGATGCACTTCTTTCTTGGTTTTGAACCATGCAGTGTTCCCTTCCTTGGTTCTGACAACAGCTTCTTATTCTAGGTTTAGGTTCTGCATGAGCACAATCAAATGTTCTTCTATTCCTATTCTTCTCAATGTTAAGCACAATTTTTTTGTTAACCACGTCAAATGCCTTTGCAGACTTGATAAAATATAGATATCCTTTTGGTACTCAGAGCTTTCAGCTAAGATCCATCAGACATCGGCAGTGATATTCCTAGTGCCACAGCCTCTTCTAAACCTATTTTATATTTCTGGAAGTTCCCTGTTGATGTACTGTTCTAATAATTTTTGGACAATTTGGCTTGCATGTGATACTAATACTGTTATTTGATAATTTCCACACTCTGTTGGATCTCCTTTTTAGGAATGGGAATAAATAACGGTCTTTTCCAGTTAGTGGCCAGGTCTTGGCACAGCTTAGGAACACATCCAGAGTTGCATGTTTGTATTGAAATGTGTCATTTAGCATTTCACCAGTTCCTCAGGCCTTATTTTTTTTGCCAATTATCATTGGGTTTTGGTCACATGTAACTTCCTGAAATGGTTCAATGTCAGCCAGTTGTATTTGGTATGGTGACTCAGTATATTTCTTCCATTTTCTTTTGATGTTTCTGGGATCATTCAAGATTTTCCTCTAACATCTGTAAGAATTGCAACTTAGACTTAAATTTATTCTTTAGTTCCCTCAGCTTGAGAAATGCTGAGTGAGTTCTTCCCTTTCGATTTTCTGACTCCAGCTTTTTGCACATTTGTTATACTTTGTTTTGTCTTCACAAGCTGCCCTTTGAAATCTTCTTTTCAAACTCTTAACTTTTTCATTGCTTCCCTTTCGTTTGGCTTCTTGGTGTTGTAGTACAGTATTCAGAGGTTTTTTTCTGACGTCCATCTCAGACTTTTCTTCCTCTTCAGTCTTTGTGATGACCTTTTGCTTTCTTCATGGATAATATTCTTGTTATCATTCCACAGCTCATCTAGTTTTGTTTATTATTGCTCATTGCCTCAGACCTGTTCTTGAGATGGTTTTTAAATTCAGGTGTGATAGTCTTAAGGTTATATTTTGGTTCTTGTGGATTTGCTTTTCTTTAACTTCAGTTTGAACTTGGACATGAATAGTTGGTCTCTTCCACAGTTAACACCTACCTGATCTAGTTCTCACAGTTGATATCTAACTTCTCTAGGGGTTCTTTTCTCATGTCTGATCAGTCTGATGCCTGTGTAATCCATCAGGTGAAGTCCATGTGTATAATCTCCATTTGTGTTTTTATAAGCTAGAGCATCCTCTTACTCATATACATCATTCCATAGTTTGACAAAACAGTTAAAACAAAATACCTGGTGACAGGAGAAAAGATATATGTAAGGTAAGGGTCAATTTAAGATAGAGGTCAACTTTCAGGGGATGAGAAGAAGACTACTAGTTTATGCCATGGACTGCAAATGTGAATCTAAAATTACCAGAGTTTACTCATTTATACATAGATTTGTTTGTATGTATTTATGTATTCACACACATACAATACATACAGATAGGGAGCTCTACTAGCCTAGTTGAAAGGAGAGGATTAAACCAAGCTACTTCTTGGAGGCAAGGATTCTGGGGCTTCGTCTGACATACTTCGGACATGTTGCCAGGAGGGACGGGTCCTTGGAGAGGGACATCATGCTTGGGAGGGTGGAGGGACAGCGCAGGAGGGGAAGACCCTCTATGAGATGGATTGATTCAGTGACTGGGGTAATCGGGATGGGTGTGTCAGAGGCAGTGCAGTTGGCGCAGGATAGAGCAGGGTTTAGGGCTGTTGTGCATAGGGTTGCTGTGAGTCGCAAACGACTCGATGGCACATAACAACAACAACAACTAGCCTAGTGGTTAGAAGTTGCACTGTCAACACAAAGACATGCAGCTGTAAGCTAACAGGTACTCCATGGGGAAAAAAGGAACAGTCTCTACTTGTGTGATAACAGCCTCTGAAAACCCATTGTGACTCAACAACTGTGTGTGTGTGTGTGTGTGTGTGTGTGTGTGTGTGTGTGTGTCCGTGTGTCCATGTGTCCCCATGACAGGCTCTAAACATGAGCCTTATGTTTAGGGAGAATTGCATTTTTAATGTTTTCTTTTACATTTTTAAGAGATAAAACTAAAACTTGTCTATAAGTGTGAACCAGTAGGATAGATAGATATTCATCTTTCAGTTATATTAGGAATTTTAGAATTTTTTTGCTTTCTTTTTTAAAATAATTGCAATTGATTTCCTATTATTAATTTCCTTTATTGACTTTTTATATAAAGTCATATTTTATGAAGAAGTGCTATACTTTCAGACTGCCAACTTAAAGTCTTACTTAAATCTGAACCTGATAATGGACAGAGAATGATTGCACTAAATGCTAAGATAAAGAATTGACAAGGCTCAGTGACAAGAATTTACCTTTTTTGAAATTAATTTCCCTTTCTAGGCAGAATGGCTAATGCGGATCTGGTGAAGTATGGTTTGGCTGATGTAGTAGAAAATCCTGGTATCATCACTGATATAGGAATGAAGGCTGTCAATGAAGTTTTTTCGTGTATCAAATACTTGGCAATTTACAATTGCCCTCATCTGCATAGCCCATACAGTTGGATCTCAGGTATTAAAAACTTAGAACTAATGCTATATTTTATTGATACTAAAATAATATAAATGTCTTTGTTTCTGTTTGTGGTGATATGATTATATTCATAATGTAAAATGTGAATATTTCATAAGTGTTATTCTGAGACTCTTTAATATCTAAATTGGAAGTAAATTCAATATACCTTTGAACTTCAGGTATTTGTAGTAAGTTATGCCTATTATTATCTTTTATGTACTATTTTGTATCACATAACAATAAGGTTAAAAACTCAACTAACATACTCTTAACTAGTTTACTAGTAGAGAACATGCTAGTTCATAGAGAGTTGTGCTACTTTAAAAGCTGTTAACTAAGGGAGCTCTGGTGGCCTAGTGGCAAAAAGCTGTACTACAATCCCAGAGGTATGCGGTTCGCATCCACCAGATGCTCTGCTGGGGAAGGGGCAATCTCCTCCTGTACCAGTCAGATCCAATTTGACCATGTTGTTGTTGTTATGTGCCGTTGAGTCATTTGCGACTCATAGCGACCCTATGTATAACAGCCCTAAAGCCTGCTCTATCCTGTGCCAATCACACTGCCTCTGACACACCCATCCCGCTTACCCGAGTCACTGAATCAGTCCACCTCACAGAGGGTCTTCCCCTCCTGCACTGTCCCTCCACCCTCCCAAACATGATGTCCCTCTCCAAGGACCTATCCCTCCTTACAACATGTCCCAAGTATGTCAGACAAAGCCCCAGAATCCTTGCCTCCAAGGAGTAGCCTGGTTGAACCCTCTCCAGGATGAATCTGTTTGTTTTCTTGGCAGTCCAGGGTACATCCAATACTCTTTTTTAGCACCACAGCTCAAAGGCATCAATTCTCCTTCTGTCCTCCCTAGTCATTGTCCAACTCTCTGATGCATAACAAGCAATTGCAAAGACCATGGCCTGTATCAGGCGCACCTTAGTCTCCAAAGAGACACCGTTGCTCTTGAGTAATTTAGAGAGATCCCTAACAGCAGACTTTCCCATCGCAATACGATTTTTGATTTCCTGCCTGCTGGTGCCAAGAGTGTTGACCGTGGAGCCGAGAAAACTGAAGCTGTGAACAATCTCAATCTCTTCACCATCCATCCTGATGCTACCAATTGGTCCAGTGGTGAGAATTTTTGTCTTCTTGATATTGAACCTCAGTCCATATTGGAGGCTGCAGTCCTTGACCCTCTGCAGCAAGTGCTCAGTTTCAGCAAGCAGGGTTGTGTCATGTGCATAACGCAGATTGTTAATAGATCTTCTACCAATCCTGACGCCACACTTCTCATAGAGCCCAGCCTCTCGGATAATCTGTTCTGCATGCAGGTTGAAAAGGTATGGAAATAGGACACATCCCTGGTGTACACCCTTCCCAATTTTGAACCATGCAGTGTTACCCTGCTCTGTTCTGACGACTGCCTCTTGGTCCAAGTGTAGTTTTCGCATTAACACGATTAAATGTTCTGGGGTTCCCATTCTTCTCAGACTCAGCCACAGTTTGTTATGATCCACACAGTCAAACACCTTTGCATAATCAATGAAACACCAAATTTGACCATATACACAAAAAAATAATAAACCAAAACAAAACCCTGTTAACTGGCATCCTAGTTATTAGCATACTAGTAGACAGAATGATCCATAATTCCATTACTCAGATCTCCTGTTAAAGAAGTAAAAGTAATCCATGCATTTGATAAATTTTAAACAGGATACAGAATGAAAGAGTCTGGTCTCCAAAGTAACTATAATCAAGAGTTGCTTATATATTATTCTTGGCAAATACTATAGCCTTTTACATGTGTGTTACTAGTTTCAGTTGAGTCAGTTACGACTCATAGTACCTCTGTGTATAGCAGAATAAAATGCTGCCCAGGCCTGTGCCATCCTCACTATTGTTTCTGTGTTTGACCCTCTTGTTGCAGACACTGTATCAGCCCATCTCATTGAGTGTTTTTCCCTTTTAAAAAATTATTTGTATATACAGAATGATATTGTTGCTCTACCAGAGGGATGTCTGTCTGTGTTTTATTGACTATGCAGAGGCATTTGACCGTGCAATTGTGGTTAACCTTGAGGAATGGGAATCCCAGAACACCTGATTGTGTTCATGCGAAACTTCTACTTAGACAGGAGGCTGTCATCAGCAAAGTAAGGAAACACTGCATGGTATAAAATCAGAAAAGGAGTGGACCAAGGATGTGCACTTGTCTTTATACCTTTTTTTTGCTGTGTACAGTGTAATTTATTGATGGTACATGACAAGATAGGCTCTCCAAGCCTTTCCTCAGGGGGACTGGATGGAAACTGTATGTCAAGGATGTGAGATTCTCAGTGTGTGGGAAGATCGAGTTGGGGCAAGGACTCCCCAGCATCTGAGATCACTCTCTTTTCTAGTGCTATTGCTGGGACTAGTGCTCCAAGGGACTCTTATTTTATGGAGGCCATGTGAACCATCAAGTCAACCACCTGGTTTCTCTAGCCAAATTTATTGTCATACTAGGAAATGAATTTGACAAAGTGTTCTTTCAGGGCAATGCCAGCCCCAGCATCAAAGGTGGAAGAGTGGGTGTCACTGTTAAAGTCACAGGAGACACCCTGGTCTTCATTGTATCTCAGGATGCCCTTGAGGGTCCCTTCCAATGCCTACTTTACTACTTTCTTGATGTCATCATATTTGGCAGTTTTCTCCAGATGGCAGGTCGTCAGGTCCACAACTAATACATTGGGAGTGGGGACATGGAAAACCATGCCAGTAAGTTTCCTATTCAGTTCACAGATGACCTTGCCAACAGTCTTGGCAGCGCCAGTAGATGCAGGGCTGTTGGTCTTAGCAGCTCCATAGCCATCGCGCCACAGCTTTCCAGAGGGGCCATCCACAGTCTACTGTGTGACAGTGATGGTGTGGACTGTGATCTTGAATCCCTCTATAATAAGTTGTCATGGATGACCTTGGCCAGGGTAGCCAAGCAGTTGGTGGTGCAGGAATCATTGCTGACAATCTTGAGTTATACTTTTCATAGTTCACGCCCATCACAAACATGGGGCATCGGCAAAAGGGGCAAAGATGGTTACCCGTTTGATAGCACCCTTCAACTTAGCTTTCTGCAAGTTTGTGGAGACCCCAGTGGACTCCACAACATACTCAGCACCAGCATCGTCCTACTTGATGTTGGCAGGATCTCGCTTCTAGAAGATAGAGATGGCTTTCCCATTCTCAGCCTCGACAGTGCCGTTGAACTTGCCATGTGTTGCAGACTGAGGGTCCCAACGAATGGAATAATTTTATAATTATTAATAATCAGACTAACAGCCAGGAAGGAGATAGAGCAGAGAGCATAAAACGGGGCCAGCAGTTCTCGACTGAAGACCCCAAATCATGTTTCTTTGTGTATTTTTTGACAATCTGGGGAAGCAAATAACAAAAGGAATTCCTTGTAAATGAAGGCTCTATTTTTCTCTATTGTCGGCCTAATGCTCTAGCTCAGGAAGTATTTCCCAGGAAGTAACATTCTGTAGGGGGGCCCTAGCTGTCTCCTGTCTGCAGGGAACAAACAGATTATTTTCTGGGATCTGCCACAAGAGAAATCCTAACTTACAAATCTGCAATTCCTTCAATCCTGAACAAGGATTTTAATATAATATTTGGTATAAAGTTTGGCTTCCCATAGCCATGGGTGGAATCATACTAGAACCATGTAAGTGAGGTCAATGAAGGGGTCATTGATGGCAACAGCATCCACTTTGCTAGAGTTAAAAGCAGGCCTGGTGACCAGGTTCTCAGTGCGGCCAAATCTCTTTACTCCGACTTTCACCATCATGTCTCAGGGATGCGGCTGAGGCTGCATGAGAAGAGAGGGCAATTTGTGGATTAATGAGGAGCAGAGAGCTGTCTTTATACCTTTTAAATCTGTGTACAGAAGAGATCATTCGAGAGACTGGTCTTTATGAGGAGGAATATGGAATCAGGATTAGAGAAAGACTAACAGTCTATTCTATGCAGATGACAAAGCCTTACTTGCTGAAACTAAGGAGCATGCTATATGGATTGAAGCACATCAAGATTATGAAGATTATCACCACTGGGGCAATTCGCAGCGCTATGATACTTGGAGAAGAGATTGAAATTGTTAATACTTTCAGCTTGTTTGGTTCCACAATCAACCCTTTTGGCAGCAGTGGTCAGGAAATCAAAAAACTAATTGCATTAGAAAAATCTACTGTCAGAGACTTCTTCAGAGTTTTACAGAGCAAGAATGTCAGTCTAGAGACTAAGGTGTGCCTAATCCAGGCCATGGTCTTTGGAATTACTTGCTATGCATCAGAGAGCTAGACAAAATGAAAGATGACTGAAGAATTGATGCCTTTGAGTTGTGCTGGAGAAGATACCATGGATTTCCAGAGAACAAACAGGTCTGTCATAGAGATGGGTGAGACCAAGTTCCTCCTTGGAGGCAAAGATCTTGAAGCTCTGTCTCACATACTTTGGGCATATATCCAGGAGGGACCTGTCCTTGGAGAAGGACATCATGCTTGGAAGGGTGGAGTGACAGCCCAAGAGAAGAAGACCCCAGATGAGATGGATTGACAGGATAACTGAGACAATGGGATTAGATGTGTTGGAGTCAGTGAAACTGGCTCAGAGCAGGGCAGGGTTCTGAGCTATTGTACAAAAGGTCACTATGAGTCATAGTTTACTGGACCAAACAACAACATACATGATCTCACTGTTGCTTCATTTTGCAGGAGGTTATTTTGGCGATTCTTTTCCTATCAGCATACATGTTTGGCTCAGCTTTGTTCTTGTGAAATAGCTGCATCTTGTCCTATTTAATGAGTATACCATACTCATTTTAACCCTTAGCATGCTGTTAAATGAACTTGTAAAATGTTAAATGGATCATTTCTTTCTTTTTTTTTAATGGATCAGTTTTAAATCAGGACTGAGTTGATTTTAAATTTTATATTTCCAGAGCCATCTAGTTTCACAATGTAATTGGGTAATGAAAAACATCAGATTTATTACAGTTCAAAAATCATGAAATAAGGGGAGTGGGAATACTTAAAAAGTGAGGACTTGAAGACCTACAGCAGAATTCTTTAGTAATTGGGAATGTCAGATTACTCTCTTCAGCCATGCCATTTCTTTATTAGATCACTCAAGATGGACACGATTGGTTGATATCAATCTAGTGCGGTGCCATGCATTAAAACTGGACTCTTTTGGCCAGTTTATTGAATTGTTGCCTAGTCTGGAGTTTATTTCACTGGACCAGATGTTCCGTGAGCCACCCAAGGTGAGTCACGAATGTATTTATTTTGGTACTCAAAACAACCTAAGTGATCTATCTTTACTATGCTTTTTGTATACTTTATTGATACTACCAGTGTTAATTTAGGTAGAAAACTAGTAGTAATACATGAATTCTTGTCATAATTGAGCATTTAGTTGTTTCCTGGGAAGGGAAAAAAGAAAGTGGGAAGCTGTCTCCATCAGTCCTGTAAATTGAAGGTAAGATAAGGGTAAGGTCAGATATGTAACCTAAAGTAACTAGTTGAGAGATTAAATCTAATCAGAAACCCAGAAAATACTCAGATACTATCAGATTATTATCTTTTCTATTGGGAAACCTGAATTTTCCAGTTGTATAAAAATGTTATTTTAAAATTACTTAATCGATCTACTCTCATGGAAGGGATCTCTAGTCCATGGGAAGTTGTGCTACTAACCCAAAAGTGATGCCTGTGGTGGTTCAAATCCACCAGCTACGAGTGAATAAAATGGAAATTCTCTTCCCATGAGATTTAATTTCTCCTGAAGGGACCCTCTGCTGGAGGGTCACCTTTGAGTTGGTTCTGGCTTAATGGCAATGAGTTTTTTAATTTACTCTCACGATAATAGAAACTTAAAACATTGCATAATTATTTTCTCTCATATGGTTACTTTTCCAGGTCAAAGCAAGGCTTTATGGTTAAGCATCTTAGAAATTGAGATTAGAGTATTGAGATTCAAGTCTCAGCTCTACTATGTTACTACCAATGTGCGGTTGTTGGACAAATCTCTTTCCAGTTTTGCACTTCAGTTACCTTATTCATGAGTTAAAGCTAATAAACCTTTTCTGTGTTTGAAATGCTATGTACTACAAATGAGATTCTTTATTTGGGTATGAAAACATTTCAAAAACACAGTGTTAAACAAATGTTAGTTCTTATTTAATAAGCATATGGTTTGCTTTTGCCCTAGGGCTGTGCTCGAGTTGGTCTGAGTGCAGGTACAGGAATTGGGGTTTCCTCAGCTCTTGTTAGCAATCAAAACTCCAATAATGACAATGAAAATAATGCCCAGAATAACAATGCCAACATCCACGACAATAATCACCATCAACCAGATGAATCAGACGAAGAGAATGACTTTCGGCAAGACCTGCAGCCAGGAGAACAGCAGTTTGCAGCCGACGGTAACCCAGATCTTTTGTGAGCTCCGATAGAAATGATTTTTACTTTGGATCATGTTTCTTTGATTTATCTCTTCCTCTCTTTCAGCTCTCCACTTTCCCACTGAGGGGAGCTAGTTGACATACCAGCTAAAGGAGTGGATGAAATTTCTTTATATGCTTGTTTCAAAGCCATCCTTAGATGCTTCTTATTCATAGAATTAAAAAGATGCTGACAGAATAGGAAAGATTAATACGTGTGCTGGGGAATTAGGGCACAGTACAGTTTTGAGACTTTGTTTTTGAAATTTAGGTAAAGGCACATCTTACCCTATTTCCCTGACCAGTCCATAAATATGTTTGTCTTGAGTATAGAGACCATGTTTTGTTTCAAATTCTGAAAGAAAGAACTCTAACCCTGTATTCATATTGTATTAAGCTGAGCACCTCTCACATTTCTTTAATCATTTAGTCTACACAGCCAACCAGCAATAAAAAAAGATCTGCCAGGTTTTGATTAGGAGTTTTGGTGGTGCTATAATTTCAACTTTGAGAGTTGGAAATCAAATGGTCAGCAGTTTATACTCACCGGCTGCTCAGAAACCTTATTGGCAGGTCTGCTCTAACCTACAGGGTTTTGATGAGTCAAAATCAACCCTACAGCAATTTTGGAGATTTGGCTTATGTAATCACTTAGTTTTTTAGTATTGGCCTGTGTGTGAACTGATGCACTAAATAGGCACTGTCAGCCATGCTGTTGATAAGTAAGGATGGAAGGAGAGTGTTTCCCTGTCAGGTTTCCCAGTTGACCTTTATAAACTGGAAAAGGAATATTTTTCTGGCATCTTTTTTGATGTTACCCTTTTGCCCACTCTTGGAAGATAATAATGAGAAATAGCATCTTGAGTTGTGGTGCTGGAGAAGAGTCTTGAACATACCATGGACTGCCAAAAGAACAAATAGGTCTGTCTTGGAGAGGGTGAAACCACGTTTCTCCCTGGAGGCTAGAATTTTGAAGCTCTGTCTTACATACTTTGGGCACGTGGCCAGGAGGGACTGGTCCTTGGGGAAGGACATCCATGCTTAAACGGGTAGAGAGGGACAGCATGAGAGATGGACTGATAGAGTAACTGGGGCAGTAGGGGTAAGTGTGTCAGAGTCAGTGAGACTAGCTCACAATAGGACAGGGTTCAAATCTGTTGTACATAGGGTTGCTCTGGGTTGCAGGCGACTCGATGGCACATAACCACAACATCAGGATCTTAAGAATCATCTGTAGGCATTGTCACATTCTCACCTGACACATTTTCTGCAGAACTCTCCAGTTTAGCCCTTGGCCAGGTCACCAGTGACTAAACAAATTCACTATTTATTCCTCCATTATATCTGTATATTTTATGTAGTGGCATTTGATGCCATTGCCCACTTTTCCCTTCTTGGATTAGAAAGTCTATTTTTTTACTCTGTTTATTTTATAAACTATTTATTTTGCTGGATCTGCTCTTTTCAATTTCCTTTGCTAATTCCACCTCCTTCATTTTGATTTTATTTTATTTTTAACCTGAATCTCCTTTCTCTAATCATTTTTCTAAATAAGCTCATTCAGTCCTGTGGTTGTGTACCAACTATCTATCAGTGAAACTTCATATACTTTGGGCACGTTGTGAGGAGGGTCTAGTCCTTGGGAGAGTCCATGAAGGAGAAGACTTTCAGCAGGATGTATTGACACAGTGACTGCAGCCATGGGCTCTAGTGTGTCAGAGATGGTCAGGATGTCAGGGTCACTGTGAGTCTTAGTTGACCAGGTGGTTCTTAACAACAAAGACATAATGTTAATGAGTTCCAAGTCTTTATTTAAGTCTTTTTTTCTTTTGAAGTAATTGTAGTTATATGTAACTTTTTACTTGAGTCCTCTTGGTCATTTCAATTTTACCGTGACCAAATATCTTTCCTGATAGTCTCCTCAAATAGAATCAAACAAAAATGCAGAGCCAAGGAATGCAGGAAGTGAAGAAAAAGATGGTAAGGTCAAGTATTATCTCTTTGCTTTGTTGTCGCAGAGTACCATTGTAAGGGCAGATGGGCCTGTAAGAGTCTCAAAACACAGATTATCAAGCAAAACTTAAAAGAGCTACAGTTCAGAATTACCTAAATTCTGTGAAGCTAGTTGTGGTTGAAATTAACATAATGAACAGATTTATGTAAATTCTCCTGTAAAGTTATGTGGCCTTTTCCTTTCAGTGTGGAGTAAAGATTACTTTTCCTTGTGAAATCATATACTATTACAGTAAGAGCCAAAACATGTTCAGGAACATTCTGCATTTTAAGTCTCAGAATTGTGGAGATTTCATCTACTAAAAGTTTCTTTACAAATATTACTTCAGTAGACAAAAAACAAGATTGCATATAACACTGATGGTCAAGATCCAGAAAACTGTTTTTAAAAAGTAAATTTTTATTTTATACTGCCTGTTTGCAAAGTTCATATACATTGTTTTTCACACCAAAATCTTTCTCATTCTTTATGCACTCCTCCTCCTACTCCTCAGATTGCGAGAACCTATGGTTACCCACCTGCCTATCCTCATCCTTCTCTTACTTTCTTGGATCCTCATACACATTTTGCTAGTTATCCTTCTTTTTCTATGAAAATGGTCTTATACAGTATTTGTCCTTAAGAGGCTGAGTTATTTCACTTAGCATAATGTTCTCTAGTCCCTCCCTAGTTAGGTAGTGATTTTCAAAATCATTGCTACTGCATGCTGCGTAGTATTCCATTGTGTGAATGTATGATAATTTCTCAATCCATTTGATTGTAGTCGGACATTTGGGCTGTTTCCATGTTTTTGTGATGGTGAATAACACAACTGTGAACATTGGTGTATAAATCTCCATTTGTGTCTCATTTGTAATTTTCTTGGGGTATATTCCAAGCAATGGAATAGCTGGGTCATATGGAATATTTATGTTCAGCTTTCTGAGGAAATGCCAAACCAAACTGCCTTCCAGAGTGGTTGTACCATTTTACAATCCCACCAACAGTGTATGAAACTTCCTCTCTCCACATCCTTGTCAACATTTATTACTTGCTGTCCTATTAAACTTTGCCACTTGCTACTAGGATGAGATTGTATCTCATTGTGTTTTTTTATTTGCATTCCTCTTATTGCCAGTGATTTTGAGCATTTCTCATGTGTCTGTTGGCCATCTGAGTATCTTCCTTTATAAAATATCTTTCCATGTCTGTTGCCCATTTTGTAATTGTGTTATCTTTCTTTTTCTTGTAGAGGCCCTGTATGATCCTGTAAACTTTTGTTAAGAGACCTTTGTCTGAGGTATTGGCAAATGTTTTTCCCCAGTCAGTAGGTTTTCTTTTCACTCTGTTGAAAGATGTTTTTTCACCTCTTAACTTTTAACATTGAAAAGATTTAATCTATCTAAGGTCCCATTTGTGAATTTTATCCTCTCCTGATTATATTATTTCTGGTTGTATTTGTCAGCCTTTTAATACTATGAGGTAGGCCTTCTAAGCTTGGTCCTCCTACTTTGTCGTTTATGTTTTTTTTGTTTGTTTTGTTACCCTTAGGTCTCTGATCCACCTCAAGTTGATTTGTGTATTGCGAGCATTGTGGATCCTGCTTCAGCTTTCTACAGCTGGTAGTTCAGTTTTGCCAGCACCATTTGTTGAAGTTGTCGTTTCCCCATTTGATAGGTTTTCTTTTCTTGTTGAGTATCAGTTGACCATAGATAGATGGATTATATTCTGCATTCTCAATTCTATTCCATTGGCTCATGTGCCTGTCATTCTATCAGTACCATGCTGTTTTTGTTATTATAGCTGTGTAGTAGGTTTTGAGATCAGGGAGTGCTATGCCTCCCAGTTCATTCTTGTTTTTCAGAAATACTTTGTTTATTCCAGATTTCTTTACTTTCCAAATAAACTTGCCAATTTCCTTTTCTAATTCTTTGAATAATGAATTTGGTGCCTGTATTAGGATTGCATCAAACATGTAGATTGCTTTTGGCAAGATTGTCATTTTTACTATATTCAGTCTTTGTATCCGTGAACAGGGAACATTTTTCCATTTTTTTAGGTCCTTTATTGTGCCTCGCAGAAGTGTTTTGTCATTTTTCTTTGTAAAGGTCTCTAGTTAGGTTTATTTTCGAGTATCTTAATTTGTGCTTGGCTATTGTAAATGGTATTACTTTCTGAGTTCTTTCTGTTACTGTAGAGGAATCCCACTGACATTTATATACTGATCTTGTGTCCTGCCATTCTGCTAAATTGGTCTACTATCTTTAACAGTTTTGAAGTTATTTTGTTGAGTCCTTGGGGTTTTCTGTGTACACTGCCATATCATCTGCATATAGGCAACAGTTTCACCATCTCTTTTTATATCTGGATGCCTTTTATTTTCTTCTCTTGTCGTATTGCCCTAGCAAGGCAGTGGCCATCCTTGGCTGGTCACTGTTCTCAAGGAGAAGACTTTTAGTCTCAGAAAAAAACTTTTGATATTGAAGCTGTAATTGCTGTAAAAGGAGCCTCAGCACTTACCTAAAAGAGCTAATGACAAGTACAATACCATTGTATTAAGGGCTAAAAATTAAAGGAATGAATAGTACACTTTACTCTGGAACAACTTGGATCTTAGATCTGCCGACCTCCTGTACTCTAGAAGTTCACATAATTTACATTTGACCCTTGCATACCAGTGTCATGGATTTAAACTGTGTGAATCCATTTAAATAATAGGTACTCTGGTGGCCAAGTGGAAAGGAGCTACGCTACCATCCCAAAGGTGCACAGTTTATATCCACGAGCTGCCCTGTAAGAGAAAGATGGGCAGCCTCTTGCTGTGTAATTTACAGTCTCTAAAAACTCATTGAAGGCTCAGCAATAACTTGATGTTGTAATGACCTTAAGAGTTGCAAGTGTCTGCCCTAAACAGTATGAATGTCAGTCATCTCCAGGACTAAGAGATGAACTATTCAAGAGGAGTTATCACATGAAACACTAGAGCTTACCTCAATGTTGTTATGTGCCGTCGAGTCACCTGTGACTCAGAGTGAACCTATGTCTAATAGCCCTAAACTCTGCTCTATCCTGTGCCAATCATATTGACTCCAACACACCTATCTCCATTACCCCAGACACTGAATCAATCCATCTCATCGAAGGTCTTCCTCTCCTGTGCCGTCCCTCCACCCTCCCAATCATGACATACTTCTCCTCCAAAGACTGGTCCCTCCTTGCAACATGTCCAAAGTATGTCAGACAAAGCTTCTGAATCCTTGCCTCCAAGGAGCAGCCTGACTTCACCCTAGGACATACTTGTTTTCCTAGCAGTCTGTTAGTACTCTTCTCCAGCACCACAGCTCAAAGGCATCAGTTCTTCTGTCATCCATAGTCATTGTTCAGCTTTCTGATGCAGTAGAAACAAGAGGGGGAAAAAACCATTCACATATAAACTTGAACCCTAGCACTTCAAATGCCTTATTTGAGGATAATTTCTTTTGAAGTAACCCTAACCACAAAATACATGCATTTACCTATGCATCATTTAACAGAACAATACATTTATGCCAGTTATTCAATGCTTTATCTTGCTCTTCCCCTAATTAACCTGAATCACCCATGAGATGAAATTAATCTTTAGTTTTTAATGATGAACAGTGGTTCTCAAATTTGAATGTGCTTCAGAATTACCTGAAGAATATGTTAAAACTTAGATTACAGGACTTGATGTATAAATTTGGAGAAGATGCTTTAAAAAACAGTCTCTTACTGGGCCTTCCACTTTTTTTCTTTCCATGTAATAGAAATTCTTAAAGCATTCAGGGCAGTATTTTAAAAATATTAACATCAGTGCTTCTTTTGTCATTAAAACTTGCCAATACTACTTCTTACTGCCTTACTGTAAATTTTCCTTTGCTCATTTAAATTATAAGACTCACATAATCTAAGCTACCTTCATCTTTTGCTGTTTCTCTACGTTACTTAACCATATTTAAATATGCCAAAGTGGCACCTACCACCGCATGAACCTTCTTGTTAGAATATAAGCCCTGCATCTTTGCTTGGCTAACTCCTTCTTCACTTAGTTTAAATGATAATCTTAGAGCTGTCTACTCTTACCACCTTATCTTTAGTAGCCATGAATTCATTCACTTTGGAGCTCTGGTGGTGTTGCTAACCCAAAGGCAAGCACCTCTTTGTGCTGGTTCTAATTCACCAGTGGATTTGCCAGAGAAAGATAAGCAGTCTCCTCCCATGTGATTAGAAAACCTGCTGGAGCCTCAGCTATAAGTCTGTCCAGCTTAGCAGCACTGAGTTTGAGTTTCATTCATTCTGTCACATCACCTTTTAACTTTATTATGTAAGATGTTACTACCCTATGATTTTAACTTTTAGTTTTATTTCTTCCCGGTTCTAGATGAAAGTGTTAAAAGGATCCTCATCTCAGTGAAAGCTTCCATGACCCAACAAGAAAATTAGCTCATCCTTTGCTATATTCCTGTTGGTTTTGTACTGGTTTATCACCATGCAGTCTCCTATCTCATACTTCCAATGACATTATATTCCCAATGACAGTATATTCCCAGTGACACTTATCTAATGATAGCTTTTTGACTTAATCATAATTTACCTTAATTGTTTTGTGTAACTTTTTGTTATCCTCTTAAGGAGATGGTACAGTACTTTCAAGAACAAGTATTTATTTGCTCTTTTGTAGATATATTTCACTAAGATGGTCAATTTATTTAGTGCTGTTACTTTTAGCATTGGTACTGGCACTAAAGCATTAAAGATCTAGTTATGAACAAGGCACACACGTCCTCTTCTTCCCTCTTGTTTGCGTAAATATGAAAATGTTGTTTAGAGATGTTCACATGATAGGAAAGTACTGGATATAGATTGAATGTCTTGAATGTTGACTTGAGAAATTTTCATTTAATTTGTAAAAATCTAGTAAATAATAAAGCCAGGAGTTTTCAAATCTTCATTGGAAAATAAACTGTTTAACAAGATAAAATATATTTGTTGCAGCTTGTCAGTCCGCAATTGTTCCATGGGCTTATCCTGTGGAGTAATATAAGAATAAAATCACATTAGATAGATGTTAATAAGTTAAGTCTGATATATAGCGTGAATGATATTATTAAAGTATTTAAAATGCACCTGACATATTTATTCATAATCCTTTCCACACATCAACTAAAAACTGATAACCAAAGTTTCTAGAAAGTGGGAACTGAAAGGTATAGTTAGCATTTACCTACTCAGCATATCTGGGTTTAGATCACAGACTTGTCTGTGTCTGGGATCCTGGTCACTGGCTCTCACTACCTTCTGGCACATTGTTTAGAGAGAGACAGCAAAGTACATCCCTAGCAATATCTCCAAGGGTGAATGTAGTGCTTTCTTTTCTCAACTTTGTGTCTCCCTTAGACTTTCACCTGACAATACTGAACTTTCTCTACCAAGCGATCCTTGCCTATCTCTATTTTCTTTTCTACAGAATAATTGAGCACTTCTTGTTATTTTCTCTACAGAGACATAGTTGTGTGATGTCCTCTAGGTGGCACCCTAGTCACTGGGCTTTTCAGTCTAAAGAAGTGTCTGCCTGTATGGTTTTTAATCCTTTCCTGTGTTTGTTTTTGTTTAAGCATTGAATGAGATGGAAGATATGGTGCAAGAAGATGGTGAGATGATAGCTGAAAGTGGGAATGAAGCTCACAGCCAAGCAGTTATTCCTGTGGATGTTGATGAAGAACAAGCAGGTAATCATGTGGTACTTTCCACATTCATCACTCGAAAAACGAGCACTTAACGCTAATGGAGAAAATTTAACATTATAAGTGATTTTTGAACTTGTAACTAGTGATATGTTGTATGTTATTTGTTATTGAAGACTGTAACATACTGCGCTGCAATCCCAAAGGCTCTCAGTTCGAGTCCACCAGCGACTCTGCAGGGAAAGGATGGGCAGTCTCCTGTGATGTTTATTGCCTCTGAAAACCCACTGGATGTCAGCTATGGGTCAGTTCCGACTCGTCACCAAACAACAGCATATATCTTATTAAAATTTGGTTTTGATTTTAAGTAAATTGTGACAACGACTGCTCTCTGAGTTGGCCATTGTGTCTCTGTAGAAAGAAGGCACACAAATAGCTGAGGGGACAATAATCCACCTGATTGGATATTCTGCTTTTACCTTCCCCTTGTTTTAGTGAGGAGTAAGAGAATTGGAGGGCTTGATTTGGTTTAGTTAATGGATCAAGATTTAGTCTCACTGGTTTACAGCCATTAAAGGTTAATTAATAAAACCCTTCATTTTATAAATAGGGAATCTAATAACCTTTTAAAGGTTTGAGCTACTTGTTAAAAACTGCTCAAGTAGTCAGAACTGATGTTCGAGCTCTGCTACTCTGTTCCTGATCCATTGGAATGCCTCTTTGTCTTAAAATTTGTATATCTTTAACTGTTCTTGTTTTAAGTATCTTACAGATGCAGTCACTTATTCAGCAGATATTTATTGAGTACCTACTCTGTGCCAGGCCTATGCATTATATGACAAAGGCAGGCAGAATTCTTTGGAGCTTATACTTAATTGATGGAGCCACCATTAGTCATTTATCTGAAAGATTTGGATACTACAACTAATGTTTTCCCATGCACACTGCCAAATAGATGAAGTATTTTTTACATAAATCTGTGGGACCTCATAAAATACTGAAGCTCCTCAAGGGACATGCCCTATGTTCTATTTTTATTTTCCTTTTGGACTATATGTGATTGTTTATTGGTAATCGTAGTTGATGTTTATATAATGCTTTACTGTGAAAGAATGGCTTCACATAATCTCATTCAAGGCCATATTATTTTGTGAGAAGTGGTAAGGGTGGCTATGCAGAGCCCAAGCATCTCTGCAGCCCTTTATCTCTGGAAACAGTGCACTAGAAGAGACATTTTCGTGAACCAAAAGTAATTGCTAGGCCTTTGCTTTTATCTTAGGACCCAGTGGTCTTCAACGTGCAGTAAAACCAACGCCAATTCCTGTTCATGATTCAGAGAGTGATGATGAGGAAGACAGCCTAGAACTTCAAGAAGTTTGGATTCCAAAAAATGGTACTCGGCGTTACTCTGAGCGTGAAGAGAAAATCGGAGAGTCAGTGCAGTCCAGGGAGTTGTCAGGTGAGAGATTAAGGCTTTCTCTGAGATGTGAGTGAGAATCACTGTGAGAACTGACCCTTGGCCTTTATAAATTGCATCCCTGCTACATCTTGCAGTGCTGCAGCTAGCATATGGTTTATGAAATGTGACAGGGTGGCAAGAAAGGTCAGTAGTACCAGTGAAAGGGGAATTGTTGATATACCCCACACAAGTGGAGAATAGCAAACAAGTGTGAAATTTGAGCTGAGGGAAGAAGAATTGGATTGATACCTGTAGTAGAGAATTTAGGAAGTTGTTGCATCCAGATGTCAAGAATAAGCAAGTGGCTTGTGTCTGGCACAGAAAATTGAGTACAGAGTAATCTGGAGCAGCAAAGTCAGCCATTTCCCAATTGATAGTCTGGGTGTGTTCAAAATGAATACTGATGACTAGTGTTTGAGGGAGTCCTGATGTATGTTTTACAATCTTTTACCTCCCTTTAAATCTGGGCAACAGTCTTCTGCTGTTTGCTTCACTAAGAAATTATATTTCTTTTAACTTTTAGGTTCATGTTTCTTCCTTATCTGTCCTTTTTTATTGTTCAGAACCATATGCTTACCAATTTTAACAAAGGATAAATTCATTTGTGCACTCCTTTTCTAGGAATGTCCAACTCTTTAAACTGTTTAAATGTTCAATGTGTATTTAACACCATACCTGAAATATCCATTTATTTTTGTCTGTGGAAAGCTTGGTTCTTTAGACTTGAAATAATTTACTGACTGTTGACTCAGTTTGTTAATTTTTTGTTTAATGTCTGTAAATAAATTCAAATATCGTTATGCTTTGTATCAAGTGTTTGAAAAAACTTTTAATTTTACACATGGAAATTGAAATTTAGGAAATTTAATGTACCCATCAGACTAACAAGAAATTTCTTAGAAAATGTAATTTCAGAATTATCTATTGGCTAGGCCCAATTTTATTTACATAGTCCTTTATATAGTCCTTGAGCCTTATGCCCCAGATACTGTGTTAGGAATTTAAAACAAACAGAAAAAAAGAACTAAGTCATGATTTCTGTCTAAGGAATTTCCAGTCTGGTTGAATTGTCAGGTCAAAGATACAGATAACATTGATAAGACAGACTACAGTAGTTTTGGGGTCTCAGTACAAAGATATGAAAAAGAAATCTGAAGCTAATGATTGGTGAAACAAAGACCCTTAAGTAGTAAGGCAGGGGTATAGTCACAAAAGTTTTCACTATAGAGTGTATAGAAGGGACGAGAATGGAAAGATGGTCTGGAATCATGTAACAGTAGTGCAAAGACTAAGCTGAGAGTGTAGATATTACCTGGTAGGCACTAAGGAGAATTTAACAGATGACATGATGCAATCATAGTTGTACATTGTTTCCTGTTCCAGATTTACTCTTGCCTTTTGTTTAGAATTTGTACTGAAATCTTTTCTTTTCCTCGGGCCATTCTTCTTTTTCTGGAAGCAGTAAGTGGAAAAGGCAAGACTCCACTTCGAAAGAGGTACAACTCCCATCAAATGGGCCAGTCGAAGCAGTTTCCCCTCGAGGAAAGCAGCTGTGAGAAAGGCTGTCAGGTCACCAGTGAGCAGATCAAAGCCGATATGAAAGCAGCTAGGGATATTCCTGAAAAGAAAAAAAACAAGGATGTTTATCCCAGCTGCAGCAGCACCACCGCCAGCACAGTGGGAAACTCCAGCTCACACAGCACTGCTTCTCAAAGCCCCGACTTTGTAAGGACGGTGAACAGCGGTGGCTCTTCCGAGCCTAGCCCTCCAGAAGTGGATGTGTCCAGGCAGTGTGTCTGCTCCCCCGGTGGGTCAGAGGACTCTGAGGCCATGGAGGAGGGAGACGCAGAGAGTTCTGTCTGCCCCAGATGCTGCTGTCACAGGCCTCAGGAATCCCAAAGGAGAACTAGCAGGTGTTCTGATGAGGAACGTCCTTCAACCAGCCGAGCCTGTGTTGTGAATGGCCCGGATGGTACGAGATCCACCTTTTCCTTTAGGACTCTACCAGAAGGGGGGTCTTCAGGCCCAGCAGATGATGAGAGGACTAATGGGAGTGGCTCTGGGGCAACAGGTGAGGACAGGAGGGGGAGCTCCCAGCCTGAGAGCTGTGACGTGCAGTCTAATGAAGACTACCCTCGGAGGCCCCTAACAAGGGCCAGGAGCAGACTCTCCCATGTACCGCTGGTATCTGAGTCAGGTATGACAATGCTCCCAGGAGTAGCAACTGCAGGCTAGGGTTGACAAGAGGCATGAACTTGTTCCATAAATTTTATTTCATACACATAGTTTGATAAATTGAATTCTGTTTGGGATCATAGACCTTTTGAGTAAGTTTCAACAGTGGTTTGGGGTGGGGGTGGGGGGACTTGTAAAAATCTAAAATAGCCAACCTCAAAAAACTAAAATAGTTTAGCTTTTGAGAAAACTATGTATTTGTGCATTTTAATTGTAAATACAACTTTGATTCTAATGTCTTTGCCCCAGTAGATGGGTTCTCTTCCCATCCCCACTTAGGGGATTCCCACTTAGAGAATTCAAGTCTTGGTAGTAGTCTTAAACCTTAGCCAAAAGACTTGAAGTTATTGGAACTGAGGACTCCTATCTCAGTGCGGTTTCCTGGGCCTACCACCCCTGTATATCTGCCTGCAGTGCCTCTAATTTTTTCTGAAGTCCAGATTTGCTTCCAGGTAGATTTGCCAGGAAATAAGCAGGTAAGTAATTAGTTTGAATGAGAATCATTTTGGTGGTAATATATTCAGAACATACACGTATATAATTTCATTAGCCAGTTAAATTGTAATTAATCAGTATGTACCAACACAGTAGGCTCTGGAAGGAGGTACATTTCTTAATCAGAATTCTGTTGTATTTAAGTTATCTCCTCTTTTTATTAAATTATTAACATCAGTCAGTGAACAATAATGTATTTTTTTTACATTAATTTTTTAATTTTAAATCATAAAGCCCCTAAACAGTGAAGGATTCTGGTTTTTTTTGGTACCAAATAGAGCTGATTGACTTTTGTGCACTTAAAAAAATTGACAAATTAGAGATAAATGTGAGACTTAATTACATGCCAATCATTACAGTAGCATACATTGATTTTGAAATATATGATTTTTATTTGATGATTTCATTAAAAAGTCTTATGACATCCTTTGTTACAGGCTTTTTCAGTTTTGTGAAATCAGATCTCCATGTTTTCTTTTTTACTTTTATTTGTTCTCTTAACAGTATTTATTTATACTTGGCTCACATGAATACATACAACTTTTTTTTTATTCATTTATTGAAGTTTGCTTAGTAATTTTATCTATGGAAGCTAGTTTTCTTTTTTTATTCTGAACTTCTACCACTTGCCTTCAGTGCTATTTGTTGACATTCGTTTTCATGCTATTATTTTGAAATGCTCTTTTTATCATTTCCTAAATTATTAAATTTATCCTTCTGGCTTCATTCATTATTCTTTCATGATATTTCCTTTGTTAGTGATGCATTTAAAGTTTATTTTTATCAGTTAACTTTTATAATCAGTTTGTCACATCTCAAAAGTCTTGTTTGGAATTGCATTGACTTGATTAACCTAAAAATAGACTTTTTATAACATTGAGTCTTCTGTCAGGGCTTCAAAGGACTTGGGTTTGGGGGCTGTTTTCTTGGTTTTGATTCTTGGAACAATTTTGAAGTTTTTGTTTTGCTTATCAATTTAGATCATCGTTATTTTCCATTTAGATTTGACTTTTTTGCTGTCAACTTTATCAGTTTTTTCTTACCCTGCTTTAATCATACTAAATACAGTGCTTTATGTTAAGTAATTGTCTGGATTTTATTTATAGAATCCTCTTTACTTTTTTTAGAAGCTTTTTTGGTGTAATATGTTAACTTGCTAGACAGCTAACCAAAAAGGTCAGAGGTTCAAAATCAACAGCTGCTTGCTCCTCGGGAAAAAGCTAGGCAGTCTGCTCCTGTAAAGATGTACAGCCTTGGAAACCCTATGAGAGGTTGTTTTGAGTCAGAATTGACTTGATGGCAGTGATTTTTATTTACCTTTTTTAGGCAAATTGTATATATTACTTTGTGGTTTTTTTTACATACTATATATATATATAGCTAATGTGTTTATATTAGCTGAAATTTTTTCCTAATTTTTTTTTAAATACTGGGACACTGGATAACTTATTTTATTTTACTTTATTTTATTTTTAGGATATGTCAGCTTTCTGATTTTAATATTCATTCTTGGAAAGTTATTTGGGAGGTTTACCACTGGTTATTTAAATCTATTATATTGTCAGTACTTCTGTTTAACCCTGGCCACTCTGCGTCAAAAAATTTAAGTAAAGAATTTTCAGCCTAATGAACAAGCTTGAATGAGGCTCTAGGGTTTTCAAAATTACTTCAGGCAAAACAGAGTTTCAGTTTTGTTATTTTTCTTTCCCTTTTTTATGATCTTGTGTAGTATTGAAGTGGTATTAGAAGCCAGTGTAGTTATTTGTTCTGTTCATTCCTATTTTGGGAGTATATACCTATATTCTATATATCTTCATGGTTTTATTATTTTAATAAAACTATCACAAAAAAATAACTGGGTTAATCAGAGTATTAGTATGTAAGATTAATTTGTGCTCCTAAATACTAAACTTTTTCTAACACCCCCCAAAACTGGATTAGGCCTGCTTTTCTGTGTTTCTGTGGCATCTTCTACACTGATGTTAACCACACTATGTCATAATTCTGTGTTTTACTGTCTGTCTTTCCACTAGACTCTTGAGTCCAGGAGGGCAGGGGCACACTGTCTGCTTATCTGCCATTAAATTCCCAGCTTCTAGCACAGTGTTTTACACATGGTATGGGGCCCAGTGAATAATTGTGAAATTAATAAGTGGTAGAAACCATCACATGAGGTATGTTGATACTACTGAATGTATGAAATCACTAATGTGAGTCCCTAAAAGGGATGGATTATCTCTAAACAGGAAGGAAGATCTGAAGAGAACAATGAGAACTCTGCAAATCATTTACATTGAGAAAGCTTTATTTCTTGAGGGCATCTACATACAAAGTTTGAATTCACTTTATACATTTTCTTGGAAAATATCTATATCTATCTATCTATCTATCTATCTATCTATCTATCTATCTATATCATTAATTTGGATACTTGTACAGCAGGAAACTTAACTTTGAGCCTTATAGTTTATATAGTAACTGTATTAAATATTTCTATAATATTTTAACTGTTAATCAATTAAAGGGAAAGGGAGAATAGTCCAGGGAGGTAAGAGTTTTGACAGTTGGATCATAAAAGGAGTGCTAATTTAAAGACCATTTAATAACTTACAGAGGAATGATTAGAAGCAGACTTTTTTTGGTTTTGCTTTGTTAGACTGAGAGAGAAAATCAGGACGTGTGAGTACTTATAACAGGTACTTGAATTGTGGTTGTTACAAAAAACACAACTTTTACAAGGTTTCTTATCAGTGAAGATAATCAAACTGTGAATGAAGTTCCTTCAGGAACATTGGGAAAAGGGCCTCACTGGGCTGACCATGTTTTTTCAGTTTAAATGTTCTCTGAAATGCCAGGATTTTGCTTGGTTTTAGGGCCCTGTGTAATGGATAGAACTCTTGGTACTTCTTTTTAGGCTTTAATGAGAACACTTGCTTTGAGTTATTTTGCATTGTGGGAATTCATGGTGATTTTAGATGAGATTGGACAGGGGAGGGAGGTCTGCTCTATCTGAGTCACGGACTGAAATTTAAAGTTCCATGTAGCCCAATCCTTTGGAGATCTGGTAGTATCTTGGTTAGTGTTCTTTCTTTGTACTCATGATTGATACTAAATAACCACCAAGTAACATGGTGATAGTTTAGCAGTAATACATAAACATATGAATATGATTCATGAAAAATCAACTGATTGTATATATAGTTTGCTGCTATTGTAATCTATACTTCTCTATAGTGTGGGTAAGTATAAAAAATGATTATTAATTTTGTGTTGTCATTTTTTTCCTTTATAATGTATGGAATTTAGAACTGATAACATCAAGATAATTGCTTTTTTGATGAAAATATGTTTAAGAATAAAATTCATAAATGACTCTAACCAGATTTTTTGTTAGTTAAGATTGCAGATTTTTCAGTGTAGTGACTGGTACTAGAGTCTTGGATTTCACTTCTGGATCTACTGCTTTTACCTTGGCAAGCTTTTATGTTCTGTCCTCAGTTTTCTAATTTGTGAAATGAGGAAATTAAGAAATCTTTCTCAGGGAGTTTTAAAAGATAATGAAGAAATACAGTTTAGTCCCTTAGTACAGTGCCTGACACACAGTAAGAGCTCAGTAGATATTTTATTCCATTTGTGTGCATTTGATGGTAGTCATTCAGTCTGTTGTCAGTCAGTCAGTAAATGTTGAGTGCCACTTCATCGAGTAAGAGCACATTTTTTTGGTGGCAGAAATTGATAAAAAAGATGAAACAAGACAGTGGTGATGATACATAGTGTTAGAGGGTCAGGATGAGTTTTTAGAGCAGGTAGCTCTTAAAACAGGGCATTACAGAAATGGGTAGTATTTTTAAAAGTCAGTGAAGATACTTTGTTTAGAAGCAAGTACTGTGATTAATGGCTTCAGAAACACAGCAGTGGAAGGGAGTAGGATATAATATGGAATAAAATTGTGAATGAACAGGACTAAATCATATCTCCAAGTGTCTGGGATTCAGTCATTCACTAAGCAGTGAGTTGTCATTTAAAGGTTTTTTGGTTTTCATTTTTACAGGAAAGTTGGTGGGTTTTATCTAACCATAGTTTTTAGGATGACTTGAAGCAAGGAGATAGAAGACAAGAAGGTTAGATTGTTGAAAAGACCAGCATATAAAAAGGTGCTGATTCCTGTTTGAGAAAAAAGATGATGATCTTGTTTTGGAACCAAACCAAAACCCATTATCAGGTTACTTCATACTCAAGAGTGACTACATAGGATAGATAGAGTAGAACTGCCCAAGAGAATGTTCAAGGTGGGAATCTTTACAGAAGCACTCTACCACATCTTTTATCCCATGGAGCAAATAGTGGGTTCAAACCTCTGACCTGTTGGTTGGTTAGCCAAGCACTTTAACCACTGCAGGATCAGGGCTGCTTTGTTTTGGAACTGTCAGATGGAAATAGTGGTCCTTCTGACTTCCCTTAAGAATGGATTTGGGAATTGGTTTTGTTGGAATTTATATACATGGAATTGAATGTACTCTGTTACAGCAGAGAAAGCAAGATTAAAATGGGTATTTTCATCTTGATTTTTCTAGAGGTTGCCAAAACAAAGCCACGCCATGCCATGAAGCGGAAGCGAACGGCTGATAAGTCCACCAGTACCAGTGATCCAGTGATTGAGGATGACCACGTACAGGTGAAAACAAAGCCTGAATACTTCTTTACCTTTCTTAGTTTGATCAAGTTCTTGCATAGTACAAAGGAACATTTTCCATCTTTATGTAATTTGGTTTTGTCCTAAAGAGAAAAATAAATTGATAGCAGCTGCTTCTCAAGTTTATCAATAAAATCATTTTTATAGCCTAAAAAAAAAAAAGACTCAAAATAAAAAACCCAAATCACATGGACCATTTTAACTTTATTTCTTTTAGATTCTTCTATTAAAATCAAAAAACCTTGTTGGAGTCACTATGACCAACTGTGGAATCACAGATCTAGTGCTAAAAGATTGCCCCAAGATGATGTTCATTCATGGTATGTATTAGACTGGTGTCATGTAAGAGTATCATGAATAAACGTGAAAAAGTAAGGACTCATAAATACTAGTTACACTCTAGTTTTCTTTAAAAAAAATTATTTTGTTTGTTTTTGTCTTTATGAGACAATCACGTAGTAATTATGAGAGTTCTTTTGCAGACATAATTGGTACCTAATTCAGCAGAGTAGATTAGTAAGGTGTGTAGGCTTTGGAGTCACCACTTGAATCTTGATGCTACCATTGCCTAGCTCTGTGCTGTGAGGATATCCTTGGAGGGAAGGACTGACAGACGACCTTAAGTTTTTAACGGCTTTGTATTTTATTGAGATGGTCAGTCAGTTTATGGCACAGTATCATTAATCCTAGTTCTACTTTTCTTGCTAGTCCCATATCTCTCATTGCAAATTCCATCTCTCCTATCTATTATGATGTATGTTCTTCCAGTCTCTCTTTCACATCTTTACATAGATCTCTCTGAACAAATACATTGTTGTGTGTGAGCGTCCAGATTTTTTCATACATAAAATGTACCATACATGAGCTGTTCGTGTTTTTCTTTCCACAGTTGTTCTATCCTTTATTATCTATGTAAAATTGGAAAGATCTGCCTTGTTCCTTGTCTTAAGTAGATTACATGTTTGCCATATTAATTTTCTTCAATATATACAGTGTGGTTAATATTGCTTACTTCACGGTTAAATATAGGTCTGAACTTGGATGAAAGCCTGTTGTGTAGTACTGAGGAGTCAGACCAACTCCTAGCTGTCCCTCTGGTGAGTTTTCAGGGGCAGTATGTCCTACAGGATAAGATAGCCCATCTTTCACCCAAGGAGCAGTTAGTGGACTTGAGCTGTATGCCTTTCAGTTGGCAGAAGAGCTCCTTACGACTTGGCCACTAGAGCTTGTGAATGTTAATGATATTAATTTTGCAAAATATGCTAAATGTAGGGAGCTCTGATGGCCTAGTGGTAAGAAACTGCTGCAATCCTGAAGGCTCACAGTTTGAATCTACCATATCCTCCAGAAGGAGGGGGTAATCTCCTCCTGTGCTAGTCAGATCTGATTTGATGGTACACAACAAGAAAAAAAAAGAAAATAAAAGCACAAAGTTTGGAATACTAAATAATTTAAAAATAAATACATCAAGAGACTTTTTTCTTTACTCTTGTGATGTTGTTGTTGTTGTTATGTGCCGTCGAGTCACTTGCTACTCACAGCGACCCTATGTACAACAGCCCTAAACTGCTATTTCCTGTACCAGATGCACTGTCTCCGATACACCCATCCCAATTACCCCAGTCACTGAATCAATCCACCTCATAGAGGGCCATCCCCTTCTGCGCTGTCCCTCCACCCTGCCAAGCATGATGTCCCTCTCCAAGGACCGGTCTCCTTAAAACACGTCCAAAGTATGTTAGACGGAGTCTCAGAATCCTTGCCTTCAGGGAGCCGCCCGTTTTAAGTCACTCTTTCCAGAATGAATCTGTTTGTTTTCCT